CGATCGTCAAACAGATGAGGATCCTGCACGTGAACGGATTTAATCCCGAGTAAGGAACGATCGATTTCAGCTTTGCTTCCAAACCGCACGCAGACTTGGCCGCTTCTCTGCCGGCCTTCCCACAGTGCTTTCTCTAAACAGTTGCTTGGATCTTGGAGTCTACCTTTGAGGCAGGAAAGCATAGTGGTGTGTTGCTGAATTGGGGGTATTTAGGCAAACCCTTCCGCTGGTGGTGCCTAGAGCAAAATAGAATAACTTAACAAAATACGACTCATTAGGTACTCTGAGGTATTGACCTGCTTTGCCGGTATTGCTCTGAGCACATTTATCCAGTGTGCCAATATATGCTTTCCTCTACATCCCTTGTCCGCGTCTATTTCAGTTCATAACTATAGACACATGGATAGATTCAGACAAATGTATCTACAAATGTAGCTGTGCAGTTCTCACACACAATACTCAGAACGATTTTGCCGGAATGTGTGTAACCGGTGTGGCTATTTAGAGCCAGAGATTGTGAGGTGTGCATTCAAGTTTGTTCAGAGTCCAGACCAGAAAAGAGGGATATTTTCCTCTCCCAAATAAAAAGTCTACACTGTGGTTCAGGGGCTGGTGTTGACCTTGAGTAGGACCATTCTAGCCCCATTGCAGCTGGAAATTTGAAGTCTCGCCCAACTGATTGAAGGCAGTGCCGAAGGCAAATTTGAAACCATTCTCTTCTACTGCAGGGAAAAGAAACAGAAAATCCTGGACATCCGGAAGAACGTGAAGGACGCTATTGTGGTAAGGATTTTTTTTAATGTCTGTTTAGTACAAAGGGTGCGTCCTCTGCTCCCTAAAACTGCATAGACGGAAGTAATACATTAGATTATCAGACCTGGAGCCGAACTGTTTTCTTTACCCGTGTGTATTTTTCCTTCTTTCCACTGCAGACAATTGTTTCAGCAATGAGCACTATAATTCCGCCGGTCCCACTGGCCAACCCAGAAAACCAGTTTCGGTCAGACTATATCAAGAGCATAGCCCCCATCACTGACTTTGAATATTCCCAGGTAAGTACATCCTTACTGAGATATTGTAACTGGAGCAAGATGGGACGATTTTTAACGAGGTGGCTTCCTGAGAACCAGCGTTCATATTATTTCATTACTGACCTTCTTCAAAATGCAGCTGTCCGCTTAAGAGAGGTGCTTTCCTCCATACCAGAATATTAACATGTCTTTAAAATATTAGAGACCATAAGGATATAAGAAACGCTGTCATGAATGTATAGGTAAGGGTGGAAATCAGGAAGGATGCATACTTCTAAGAATTATTGACAGTACTTTTCCCTACGTGTATTTCTAAGTTAATAGTTAAGCAGGTAGCCGAATGGCAGAAGAGTAGAAATTCTATTAGCAGAGAGAAGTGCTTTATGGTACGTGACTGCCTCCTTGTGATCAATAGAAAGATCGGAATCCAGTTTACTCTTAAGATGTGCATCCTTCAGCTCCAAGGAGCATAGTGTGCCAGTTGCAGATACTGCATGGTCACTCCTGAACGTTCACTGTCTCCTGGGAAGACGTGGTTTGCTTCACTTCTGCAGGATTTAGGACTTGGTCCCTCACCACTCGGGTGGCAGTATTGCTTATGCAAAAGGGTTTTAGGAAAATTAGTTTTCTCTTGTTTGGTGGGTACACGTTTCTTTAAAACACTCTTATGGGGTGATTTGATTAAGCATGTTTCAAAGGAGAGCATGTCTTCAGCTGGATGGCTGGAAGGGGTAAGGAAATGATGGCACGGGGGAGCCAAAGCCAGGGCCTCAGCCAGCTGGAGCTCCGTGTCCTCCCCGACCTCTGTGACAGTTCACACCCTGGAAAAGTCACCCCAGACTGCGAGGTCCTAGCTGAAATTAGGTTGTTCTCATGTGACTTCAGGTTGACACACTTAAGAGACATTTTTTTTTGAGTTCTCAATGTTGTTCCACACATTTGCCTAAAAGTTGTCATAAGACATCTCTGTGGTTCTGATGAAGAAAAAACAGTTAGTCTTAGCATCTGACGATAAATTAGCATCCAGACGTGTCCGTCAGTCACGCAGCTTCTCTCTTCTCTTTCTGATTAACTCAGACCCGATAAGCGAGCCCAGATTCAGTCTGAAATGCAGAAACAGTGACTCCCGCGTGATCACTAGGGAATCCAAAGCAGGTGCACATGTGTTTTTTGAGCTAGATCATGAATAGTTTCAATAAAAAAGATAAAATTCAAGAAACCATTTCCATGGACGGCATGTGTTTTCGTATGGATATGCTGAGGCTGAAGGCTACTGTCAGGAGCCGTAATTAACTGTCAATAGAGCAGAAGAGAACTGGGCGCCCGCAGGTGCAAATGCACTTAGGCTCTTCCAGAGGTCATCTTTTTTGGTAGTTTTTAAGCCTGCATTCTGTTGCCATCTGTGTTTCAGATGAGATTGTGTTTATAATTGAGCCTAAACTTGAATGAGGAAATTAATTTCTAAGTGTGTAACTTTCCTTATGAAAATTCTGTGCTTTATTTTGATATGCACACAGCTTTCAGCACCAGTTATCCCACAGTGCTCTGAAACATTCAGCACTCACGGTGTCAGACTGAGTAATTCTGGAATTTGCATTTTGATCCTCGGAAGAGTGACGTTAAGACAAATCTCTGACTTGTATACTAATTACATGTGGTGCACTTGAGACAGTTAACTTTTATTTAAAGAAAATGTCTGCTGTTGTAAAAATCATGAAAGCATTGCTAACTTAAGTATTTTAATAGTACACATAACAAATTTATGAAATTAGTACTTTTTTGGGATTAAATCCTTGAGAAAGCCTTTCTGTGTCACAATCCAATTCCTTGAGGGTCTTAAGTTTATTTTCCTGTAGATATGGAACAATTTTTGAACCAAATATATCCTATCATTAAAAATCAATTTCTGAGTTCTTTAAGAAAAAAGGAGTGAGAAGAATGTTTAAGATCCTTATTTATTATTAAGAATCTGAGATTCTGCGTGAGATTGCTGTAATGAATACCGTGTCTTAGAGGTATTGTAAAATTTCCTCTGAGAACGTCTTACTTCCAGTTACCTTATACTTGAATTTGAGTTGAATTATATGAAAGTTGCATTGAAACAGGAAGGAGAGTGAGGCTAGTGCGGCCCACACAGCAAAGGGTGCGGGGGCGGTTCAGGGCAAACACAGGGGCCAGAGCTCGCGGGCCTCTTGGGCCTGATCGGTACCATTTGCAGCTTTCTCTCCCGAGCACATCCAGGCCGCCTGGGCTCTGGACTGGGCTCCACCTGGGCCACGTCTGGGCGTCCCGCTCCCTGCACGGGGGACGATGGAAGACACAGCCCTTGCTGATGACTGCGATAGAACGCATGCCACGTGATCATTTACACAGTGGGCAAATATTGTGGTTCTCTCACCTCCCAAAGACTTAGCATGACGCCAGACAAAATCACGGGTGAATTAGGGTCTTAATTTGTTTGCTTGGTTTTTTCCTTCTTAATAGGTGCATGCTGTATTAGCTCCTTTTAAAATGTGTTTTGTGAGATTATTATGGGGCAAGGCTTCCTGGCGCCGCTCTTAGGAGGGTGTGGGCTGAGCCGTGCAGCCCCAGGGGGCTCACAGCGGCACCGGGGAGTGTGTGCCAGCCTCAAGGTCGCACCATCCAGGTTGGAGGTTTTCCTTGTGATTTTTTTAACCAGCTGAACCCTCTCGCCCCCACCCACACCACCCAGAAATCCTTTCAAGCCCACAGTGTAAACCAGGCAGGAGCCCCAGGCTGCAGCCTCCACGCGGGCCCCCAGCACCTGCGCTCTGCCCTCAGCAAGCCCGCGGCCCCGCCGGGCACCGTCCGCAATGACGGGGGTGGGCGTGGGTGAGGCTTCGTGTGCGTCCTCACGGGGGACGTTGGCAGGTGTGAGACTGGGGTCTGCTTCTGTGTGCTCGCCGCCATCTGCAGTCCTCAGGGATTTTATATCCAGATCAAAAGGAAAAGCGTCATCGTTGGTGAGCTCAGGCATCATTCATGAACGGGGCACTGCCGTGGACGTGGTGGGGCCTTGCTCCAGCACACCCTCCCGGGTCCTGGCCGCCCTGACCGGGTCCGCAGCCACCAGGCTCCCGACGTGGAGGCCGGGGTTGCAGGTTTCCCGGCCGTGCACCCAGCTGACTGTGTCTGTGCAGTGAGAGGTTTCTGGAGCAGAGGGGACTGTGAGCAGTGGTCTTTGGTGGCTGGTGATGCCCCCCCACCCTAGGCTTTTCCTGCCAAAATAGAGCGTGAAGGCACCGCCCAGGGAGGCAAGGGACGCGGGAGAGGGGTCCCCCTTATCTCCTTTGGCTTCTCTGGCTCCGACTCTGCAAACGTAACAAAGGTCTGTGGCACCAGGGTGAGTGGGCACTGCCCTCCGCGAAGAGCGTGTCATCCAAGGGAGCGTAGACGCAGAGTCGAAGCCACATAGAGGTGTTCACAGGGGGCTGTTGGGAGCACCTGGGGACCCCACCCAACCCGCCACAGGCTGAGCCGAGACTTCCTTGGGTGTCAGGTTAAGGGCAGAAGGGGCACAGAGCCCAGGGGGCACCTTCCAGGACCTGCAGAGGCGGGGAGCGGGGGATGGGTGGACGGACCACTGACGCCCTGAGCGCTGGGCAGCTGGGGAGCCTGTGTGCCGCCCACAGGGATGGGCACCCCCCACCCCAGGTCTGAGGGTCAGGAAATGCCGTTTTCTCTGGAAGGAAGTGGCCTCCCAGGGAGGGGGAAGGGGACCCAGGGCTCTGTCCCCACAGTCCGTGTGCTGGTAAAGGCGCAGCTGTCCCTTTAGGAGAACTTTCCAGGTAGATCACTGACCACACTGGGACCTTGCTGAAGAGACTTTTTTAAAATGCCATCTTCTCAATGACTGTTTATCGTGAAACAGTTTTAAACTTACCCGCCAAAGGCAAAAGTGCTGCCGAGAAGTCCATCCCCTTCCCCAGGTCCGTCAGGAGCTGACGTCCGTCTCCACGGACACGCGCTGCTCTGGGCTGGTTGTGGCCCTGGCACCCCCTGTGTGCATTCACATGTGTGTTTCCTACGAACACAGCTGTCCGCTTGTGTAACCAGAGCACGGTTACCGAAATTAGGGGACTTAGCGTTAATACACCATCTATTCAAAGTTCACCAATTGTCTCCATAATCACAGTGAAATTATGATAATAATGATCATGCTGTTGATAACTCTGGTCAGGAATCCAGCCCAGGGTCTGCTGCCTTCCTGGTGGTCAGGGGGTGTCGACTCTGGTCACGAAGGGAAGGAGTGAAGGCGGGGTCTGCCTTGTACCCCCCACTGAAGGTACCCTTCCCCTTGTAATTCACAAGTGTGTTTTTGGAATGTCCGTCCAGTCTGTGTAAACACCCGGTTCTTTCCGTCCACGCTGTCGATACAGCACACCAGGGCGTTTTAGCCTCAATAAATGAGGGAAAGCTGCTGGGAAACTTTTCTACTCTTGCTAAAGGCTGTAATGAAAAGTAAATAGAGGGTGAGGCCTGCTGCCACTTTACACATGTAAAGTGTGTCCTTTCTGCTGTTAACGGAAGCCTGTAAGGCTCACCCAGAGCAGAGACCCCTCGTCTACACCCGCCCGCTGGGAGATCTGGGCTGGAGCCCTAAGACACACTTTCCCTGGAGTATTTTTCCTCATAGGAGACACATCCTAAGATCACAAAGCAAGGCAGCATTTTTTTTCAATTCGTTGGATAAGATGTCATTGCAACTTCAGATGCTTTGGAAGTTTGAGACTGTCATTGTCAGGGTGCCCCTCAAAGGTGGACACACTGGAGGCTCAGCACTGGGCTTACGAAAGCCAAGTTCGTTTCTCAGGGCACTTGCGCTTTTCAGAAGCATTTGACTTCAGAAACACCTCAGGAGGCTGGGAAGGCATACATTTGGGAGTTTGAGATTTGCGAATATTAGCCACTAGATATAACAATATATTTTTTAAAAAGTTTCTGCTGTGCAACACAGGGAACTATGTGCAATATCTTGTAATAACCTTTAATGAAAAAGA